CTTTACATACACTTGACACTTCATCTACAGACTGTCAAAAGGATGGTTTACGTCTTTACATACACTTGACACTTCATCTACAGACTGTCAAAAGGATGAATGGTTTCCATCTTTACATACACTTGACACTTCATCTACAGACTGTCAAAAGGATGGTTTACATACACTTGACACTTCATCTACAGACTGTCAAAAGGATGGTTTACATCTTTACATACACTTGACACTTCATCTACAGACTGTCAAAAGGATGGTTTACATCTTTACATACACTTGACACTTCATCTAAAGACTGTCAAAAGAATGGTTTACATCTTTACATACACTTGACACTTTATCTACAGACTGTCAAAAAAATGGTTTACATCTTTACATACACTTGACACTACATCTACAGACTGTCAAAAGGATGGTTTACATCTTTACATACACTTGACACTTCATCTACAGACTGTCAAAAGGATGGTTTACATCTTTACATACACTTGACACTACATCTACAGACTGTCAAAAGGATGGTTTACATCTTTACATACACTTGACACTTTATCTACAGACTGTCAAAAAATGGTTTACATCTTTACATACACTTGACACTACATCTACAGACTGTCAAAAGGATGGTTTACATCTTTACATACACTTGACACTTCATCTACAAACTGTCAAAAAAATTGTTTTAAATCTTTACATACACTTGACACTTCATCTACAGACTGTCAAAAGGATGGTTTACATCTTTACATACACTTGACACTTCATCTACAGACTGTCAAAAGGATGGTTTACATCTTTACATACACTTGACACTTCATCTACAGACTGTCAAAAGGATGGTTTACATCTTTACATACACTTGACACTTCATCTACAGACTGTCAAAAGGAAGGTTTACATCTTTACATACACTTGACACTTCATCTACAGACTGTCAAAAGGATGGTTTACATACACTTGACACTTCATCTACAGACTGTCAAAAGGATGGTTTACATCTTTACATACACTTGACACTTCATCTACAGACTGTCAAAAGGATGGTTTACATACACTTGACACTTCATCTACAGACTGTCAAAAGGATGGTTTACATCTTTACATACACTTGACACTTCATCTACAGACTGTCAAAAGGAAGGTTTACATCTTTACATACACTTGACACTACATCTACAGACTGTCAAAAGGATGGTTTACATCTTTACATACACTTGACACTTCATCTACAGACTGTCAAAAGGATGGTTTACATCTTTACATACACTTGACACTTCATCTACAGACTGTCAAAAGGATGGTTTACGTCTTTACATACACTTGACACTTCATCTACAGACTGTCAAAAGGATGAATGGTTTCCATCTTTACATACACTTGACACTTCATCTACAGACTGTCAAAAGGATGGTTTACATACACTTGACACTTCATCTACAGACTGTCAAAAGGATGGTTTACATCTTTACATACACTTGACACTTCATCTACAGACTGTCAAAAGGATGGTTTACATCTTTACATACACTTGACACTTCATCTAAAGACTGTCAAAAGAATGGTTTACATCTTTACATACACTTGACACTTTATCTACAGACTGTCAAAAAAATGGTTTACATCTTTACATACACTTGACACTACATCTACAGACTGTCAAAAGGATGGTTTACATCTTTACATACACTTGACACTTCATCTACAGACTGTCAAAAGGATGGTTTACATCTTTACATACACTTGACACTACATCTACAGACTGTCAAAAGGATGGTTTACATCTTTACATACACTTGACAATTTATCTACAGACTGTCAAAAAATGGTTTACATCTTTACATACACTTGACACTACATCTACAGACTGTCAAAAGGATGGTTTACATCTTTACATACACTTGACACTTCATCTACAAACTGTCAAAAAAATTGTTTTAAATCTTTACATACACTTGACACTTCATCTACAGACTGTCAAAAGGATGGTTTACATCTTTACATACACTTGACACTTCATCTACAGACTGTCAAAAGGATGGTTTACATCTTTACATACACTTGACACTTCATCTACAGACTGTCAAAAGGATGGTTTACATCTTTACATACACTTGACACTTCATCTACAGACTGTCAAAAGGATGGTTTACATCTTTACATACACTTGACACTTCATCTACAGACTGTCAAAAGGATGGTTTACATCTTTACATACACTTGACACTTCATCTACAGACTGTCAAAAGGATTGTTTACATCTTTACATACACTTGACACTCCATCTACAGACTGTCAAAAGGATGGTTTACATACACTTGACACTTCATCTACAGACTGTCAAAAGGATGGTTTACATCTTTACATACACTTGACACTTCATCTACAGACTGTCAAAAGGATGGTTTACATACACTTGACACTTCATCTACAGACTGTCAAAAGGATGGTTTACATCTTTACATACACTTGACACTTCATCTACAGACTGTCAAAAGGAAGGTTTACATCTTTACATACACTTGACACTTCATCTACAGACTGTCAAAAGAATGGTTTACATCTTTACATACACTTGACACTTCATCTACAGACTGTCAAAAGGATGGTTTACATCTTTACATACACTTGACACTTCATCTACAGACTGTCAAAAGGATGGTTTACGTCTTTACATACACTTGACACTTCATCTACAGACTGTCAAAAGGATGAATGGTTTCCATCTTTACATACACTTGACACTTCATCTACAGACTGTCAAAAGGATGGTTTACATACACTTGACACTTCATCTACAGACTGTCAAAAGGATGGTTTACATCTTTACATACACTTGACACTTCATCTACAGACTGTCAAAAGGATGGTTTACATCTTTACATACACTTGACACTTCATCTAAAGACTGTCAAAAGAATGGTTTACATCTTTACATACACTTGACACTTTATCTACAGACTGTCAAAAAAATGGTTTACATCTTTACATACACTTGACACTACATCTACAGACTGTCAAAAGGATGGTTTACATCTTTACATACACTTGACACTTCATCTACAGACTGTCAAAAGGATGGTTTACATCTTTACATACACTTGACACTACATCTACAGACTGTCAAAAGGATGGTTTACATCTTTACATACACTTGACACTTTATCTACAGACTGTCAAAAAATGGTTTACATCTTTACATACACTTGACACTACATCTACAGACTGTCAAAAGGATGGTTTACATCTTTACATACACTTGACACTTCATCTACAAACTGTCAAAAAAATTGTTTTAAATCTTTACATACACTTGACACTTCATCTACAGACTGTCAAAAGGATGGTTTACATCTTTACATACACTTGACACTTCATCTACAGACTGTCAAAAGGATGGTTTACATCTTTACATACACTTGACACTTCATCTACAGACTGTCAAAAGGATGGTTTACATCTTTACATACACTTGACACTTCATCTACAGACTTTCAAAAGGATGGTTTACATCTTTACATACACTTGACACTTCATCTACAGACTGTCAAAAGGATGGTTTACATCTTTACATACACTTGACACTTCATCTACAGACTGTCAAAAGGATTGTTTACATCTTTACATACACTTGACACTCCATCTACAGACTGTCAAAAGGATGGTTTACATACACTTGACACTTCATCTACAGACTGTCAAAAGGATGGTTTACATCTTTACATACACTTGACACTTCATCTACAGACTGTCAAAAGGATGGTTTACATACACTTGACACTTCATCTACAGACTGTCAAAAGGATGGTTTACATCTTTACATACACTTGACACTTCATCTACAGACTGTCAAAAGGAAGGTTTACATCTTTACATACACTTGACACTACATCTTCAGACTGTCAAAAGGATGGTTTACATCTTTACATACACTTGACACTTCATCTACAGACTGCCAAAAGGATGGTTTACATCTTTACATACACTTGACACTTCATCTACAGACTGTCAAAAGGATGGTTTACGTCTTTACATACACTTGACACTTCATCTACAGACTGTCAAAAGGATGAATGGTTTCCATCTTTACATACACTTGACACTTCATCTACAGACTGTCAAAAGGATGGTTTACATACACTTGACACTTCATCTACAGACTGTCAAAAGGATGGTTTACATCTTTACATACACTTGACACTTCATCTACAGACTGTCAAAAGGATGGTTTACATCTTTACATACACTTGACACTTCATCTACAGACTGTCAAAAGAATGGTTTACATCTTTACATACACTTGACACTTCATCTACAGACTGTCAAAAGGATGGTTTACATCTTTACATACACTTGACACTCCATCTATAGACTGTCAAAAGGATGGTTTACATCTTTACATACACTTGACACTTCATCTACAGACTGTCAAAAGGATGGTTTACATCTTTACATACACTTGACACTTCATCTACAGACTGTCAAAAAAATGGTTTACATCTTTACATACACTTGACACTTCATCTACAGACTGGCAAAAGGATGGTTTACATCTTTACATACACTTGACACTTCATCTACAGACTGTCAAAAGGAAGGTTTACATCTTTACATACACTTGACACTCCATCTACAGACTGTCAAAAGGAAGGTTTACATCTTTACATACACTTGACACTTCATCTACAAACTGTCAAAAAATGGTTTACATCTTTACATACACTTGACACTACATCTACAGACTGTCAAAAGTATGGTTTACATCTTTACATACACTTGACACTTCATCTACAGACTGTCAAAAGGATGGTTTACATCTTTACATACACTTGACACTTCATCTACAGACTGTCAAAAGGATGGTTTACATCTTTACATACACTTGACACTTCATCTACAGACTGTCAAAAGGATGGTTTACATCTTTACATACACTTGACACTTCATCTACAGACTGTCAAAAGGATGGTTTACATCTTTACATACACTTGACACTTCATCTACAGACTGTCAAAAGGATGGTTTACATCTTTAATGAAGATGTACTGACGAAATCTGAGCACATCCCAGGGGGAGATCAGTGTGAGGAACCTAAAGATCAGTTTGAGGAACCTAACTGTCAAACTAGTTCACCATCATCAGAATCTACATATCAAAAGCCTTCAATTTTTGAAAAGAAACCTACACATGAACCAAAACCTACAACTGAACACAAACCTACAACTGAACACAAACCTACAACTGAACCCAAACCTACAACTGAACCCAAACCTACAACTGAACACAAACCTACAACTGAACCCAAACCTACAACTGAACCCAAACCTACAACTGAACACAAACCTACAACTGAACACAAACCTACAACTGAACACAAACCTACAACTGAACACAAACCTACAACTGAACACGTACCTACAACTGAACACAGACCTACAACTGAACACAAACCTATAACTGAACACAGACCTACAACTGAACACAAACCTATAACTGAACATATACCTCCAACTGACGGGGAACGGTGGGAATGTAGTTCCCCGTGTCAGACTGATCAGGCAACGCCTATAGAACCTGAACCCGGACTCTCCGCGCCTGACGAGGCTGAGCTCGAAGAGGCGGTCACTTTGGATAAGAAGACCTCCACTATAGCAACCAACCCGTGCAACTGCCCAGAAACTGTCACCTATGTCCTTGGCGGTTATGTCGGCTCTGAGACGAGGCACTGCGAGTTTAAACAGGGGGGATTTATCAACCACGCACCGAAACTGAAACAAATTATTGGTAAATACGTGACTGGGTTCCTCAATTCCGGCGGTGGCATCCTTTTCCTGGGAGTCAACGATGCAGGGCTAGTCACTGGCTTGGAGCTCACGCTAGAAGAAATAAGTACAATTAGAGATAACATTACATCTACGATTAAGGAAATCCAGCCCGTTGTCAGCGATGAGGAGTACTCCATCAATTTCGCCAACGTTTTAGGGCTACAAAGTTCATTTCTTGTGAGGGTGGTGGAGGTGTGCGTCAAACCTCGGGACCCACCGGAGACATTGTACTCGTTCAATAATCTGATATACATCCGCAGGGACGCGAGTGTCAGGACTATTAAGGACCCCTCGATATTGCTTTAGGTTGACGGGAGTATCAGGACTACTAAGGACCCCGCATCCCTCGATATTGCTTTAGGTTGACGGGAGTATCAGGACTACTAAGGACCCCGCATCCCTCGATATTGCTTTGGGTTGACGGGAGTATCAGGACTACTAAGGACCCCGCATCCCTCGATATTGCTTTAGGTTGACGGGAGTATCAGGACTACTAAGGACCCCGCATCCCTCGATATTGCTTTAGGTTGACGGGAGTATCAGGACAACTAAGGACCCCGCATCCCTCGATATTGCTTTAGGTTGACGGGATTATCAGGACTATTAGGGACCCGCATCCCTCGATATTGCTATAGGTTTCCATAGCAAGCATTAGATCTCTTTTATTAACAGCAGTGCTAAAGATAATTCTCAGCTTTAAAAATAAAATAATACAATCTAATAAACTGTTTATACATTTTTTTCTACCAAAACAATGTTTCAAGTCCTTTAAATCAACTCAGGCACCAATGTTTAGAAATGCTTGTTGATGTAAAATGTTGAAGTGTATGTATATACATTTTTTTGCGATTTTTTTCGTCAATTTTTCCTTGTCAGGGTGATACAGGGTGATACAGGGTGATACAGGGTGATACAGGGTGATACTGCCCACTTAAAAACAAACATTTTACCAACTTGTAGCACCGTACAACCACGACTAGCATTTTATAATTGCATATAAGTAGGCAGTTATTTGGAATGTTAAATGTTGACTTACCACAAACTTGATTTTGCTGTGCAATTATGTCATGCCACGATGCTAATTACCCGATAATTAACTTAGAATACATGACTCACGCCATTAATTAACTAGTAGTTCTGACATTTTGGCCCACCGTTCCCAGCCTCTCCCACCTCTCCCACCGTTCCCAGCCTCTCCCACCTCTCCCATCTCTCCCAGCCTCTCCCACCTCTCCCATCTCTCCCAGCCTCTCCCATCTCTCCCACCTCTCCCATCTCTCCCATCTCTCCCATCTCTCCCACCTCTCCCATCTCTCCCAGCCTCTCCCATCTTTCCCACCTCTCCCATCTCTCCCACCTCTCCCTTCTCTCCCACCTCTCCCAGCCTCTCCCATCTCTCCCACCTCTCCCATCTCTCCCACCCACTCCCATCTCTCCCACCTCTCCCAGCCTCTCCCATCTCTCCCACCTCTCCCACCTCTCCCATCTCTCCCATCTCTCCCACATCTCCCATCTCTCCCATCTCTCCCATCTCTCCCACATCTCCCATCTCTCCCATCTCTTCCACCTCTCCCATCTCTCCCATCTCTCCCACCTCTCCCATCTCTCCCATCTCTCCCACCTCTCCCAGCCTCTCCCATCTCTCCCACCTCTCCCATCTCTCCCACCTCTCCCATCTCTCCCATCTCTCCCACCCACTCCCATCTCTCCCACCCACTCCCATCTCTCCCACCTCTCCCAGCCTCTCCCATCTCTCCCACCTCTCCCATCTCTCCCACCTCTCCCACCTCTCCCATACCTCCCACCTCTCCCACCCACTCCCATCTCTCCCATCTCTCCCACCTCTCCCACCGTTCCCAGCCTCTCCCAGCTCTCCCACCTCTCCCAGCTCTCCCACCTCTCCCAGCCTCTCCCATCTCTCCCATCTCTCCCATCTCTCCCACATCTCCCATCTCTCCCACCTCTCCCTTCTCTCCCACCTCTCCCATCTCTCCCACCCTCTCCCACCTCTCCCATCTCTCCCAGCCTCTCCCACATCTCCCATCTCTCCCATCTCTCCCACCTCTCCCATCTCTCCCACATCTCCCATCTCTCCCATCTCTTCCACCTCTCCCATCTCTCCCACCTCTCCCATCTCTCCCACCTCTCCCATCTCTCCCATCTCTCCCAGCTCTCCCATCTCTCCCATCTCTCCCACCTCTCCCATCTCTCCCACCCTCTCCCATCTCTCCCACCTCTCCCACCTCTCCCAGCCTCTTCTATCTCTCCCACCTCTCCCAGCCTCTCCCATCTCATTCTTTACATTCTCCAAAAACGCTCTCACAAATCCAGCTACTCATTTTGTTCACAAGTATATCAAATAATTTTATAGTTGAAATATACAGAAGGCCATTTTAGAGTTGAATTAAGGGTCTAGTTGAACTTGACTAGTTTCTCAACTACGACATTTCAGTTCTCTCCAGACTGTGCAATAGGTAGGAAAAGTCTATATAATCATACTAAATTTTTTAAAAATTATTTTAAAAAATTTAGGAAGCGATAAAATTATAGCTACATTTTCAAAAATTAAAGTCGATAAGGAACCATCGATTACACTCCTTTTCAGATTTTTGTGTTGAACATAAGCCGTTGAAAATGATTTTGAATTATTGTATAAATTTAAATATTTAATAAAACCGCCCTTAACCCCACCTTGAACTGAACTGAAGTGGCCAGGGAGAGTGAAACGATAAATGTCATAACATTTATTGTCCATGATAAATACGAACAAGGTAATCCAAGAAAACAAAATGGCGAACAAGGGAATATTTTCAGTTCGATTCAGGCTTTTAAAATTCGTTTGTATCTCTTTTCATTATAATTGGCTTATTTTTTTATGACTGTTATGCTCAGATTACTTATATCTAACATTATTCTTATTAATTGTTACCAATGTTTTTGTAGAATGTTTTTAACGCACGTTTCATTGGTTTTTTTTAAGGCCTGTGGCCTGTGACTACTCACTCACTCTGTGAGTGCTCGAAGCAGTAAGCTAGAGCTAGATCTAGAGAATCTATAAGTTTCTAGATCTAGATCTAGATTATCTAGACTAGATAGATTTATATCGAGAATCTAGATTCTAGTACTAGATTCTAGGAGGAGTACTCTAGAGATCTATTCTAGATTCTAGAATCTATTACTATTATCTAGATCTAGATTCTAGATCTAGCTAATCTAGATCTAGATATCTAGATCTAGTCTAGAATCTAGTCTAGCTAGATTCTAGATCTATTCTAGATAGAATCTAGATCTAGTAGGCCTATACTGGATCTAGATCTATACTATATACTATATACTTCTGTACTATATAGGCTACTATATAGACATCTAGAATAGATCTAGTCTAGTAGTAGATCTAGGATGTTACAGCTTTTTAATATGTTTAATTAGGCCTATTTATTAAATATAAAAATACAAGATCTAGATTCTAGATCTATTCTAATTTATATACTTAATACTCAATAATACTAATACTATACTAACTACTATAGATAGATCTTATAGTTAGTTAAGTAACTTTATATTGTACGTCAGTAGATCTATTAAGTATAATATAAGTCAAGTAGAGATCTACTCTAGTATACATCTAGAATCTAGAAGTTATATATTTTATAAAAATCTATATTAAATAATTCAAGTATTTTAAGTTAATAGTAATAATAGATAAGTTAAATAAATTAGGCCCATAGTTTATATTATAAATGTGTAGCTGGTATAGACTAGTTTTAGAGACTAGTCATATATAGTAAATAGTTAATCTTAGTCCTTGGTAATTAGTAGGGCACTACAGATACACCTAGTCTAATAAATGATTAGTCTAATTAGTTAAAGCCTACTTGTTAAAATATATTTACTATAGTAGTAAGTAGTATTAGTAAGTATAGTTACTCTATACAGTTACTAGGTATATTATAATACACACAACCTCATAATTGCAAAATCATGACATTAGTGAATCAATTATTTAGTAGGCCAATAATTTCTATTTATTAATTTAATTTTAATAGTTAATACTTACTAAATTACTAGATCTGTACAAAATACATTTTATTTAAGATAATTTAGGCTATGGTACAGACAACAGTCCTAATACTTCAATTACATTGTTATTATGATTAGGGCCTAGTTAAAGGTAATTACTAATTAGACTTATGATGACTTATGTTAGTCGAACTAATAGATTCATATTTAATAACAGTAGGTCTATAGGCTTAAAATAGTATTGTAAAAAAAAAAATTATGCTTAATTTTTACAGTTGTCATATTACTTCTAGTTTCAGTAGGCCTATCTAGACTGTAGATTTACATGTAGTAGCTTAGTAGTAGTCTAGTAGGCCTGTGATAGGGTAGGTATTTAGTATTAGTATGTAAGTTAAACAAAGTTAACTAGGCTTAATAAGGCTACAATTTTAAACTGTAAAAATTACATGTAGCCTAAATATAAGGTTACAGACTAGTACATTAAATAATATCGAAAATTTAAGTTTAATCTAGATTAGTAGTCTAACAGTAATTTTAGGCCTCTAATATAATAGTAAAAATTACTGAATAGAAGAGTAGGCTTACTAGTAAATAGCTGTCTTATTTTAGTTCTACTTAATTAACTTAATATATGACTTAGTCTACTCTTAGTTTTATGTAGTGATCTTTAGAACTTAAAATGCAGAATAGTTGATAAAGCCAAAAGGTGTCACCTGTCATAGATGGATTAACTTACTAATCAAATTAATATAATTATCCTAATATTTATTTTAGTATGTGCATGAATTAATGATAGTTATAGTAGCCTAGTTTGAATATCAATTTTCAACTAATTCCTGACGTGGCAAAACATAAGTAGTAGATCTTTATTGATACCTTTTCTTTTTTTTTAAATGGTATATACATGACTTTTGGACTCTTTTGAAGGCCTATTGTATTTAATGACAAACTCCTTACATTAAAATATTAAAAGTAAACTATTAGACCTATAGTTTCAATGAATGGTAATGGTTAGATGGCCCATACAATCCAATACATAAATACACATCATTGCTTTATGATCTTTATAAGATGGACAAATATTTTTATTTATAACATTGAGAGTTGAAAGTATGTAAATATTAATGAGTTTAATATAACAGTTTATGAAATTTATTTATGTTTTTTTAGATACTGTGGATTATACAACTGCATACAGAGAAGACAATAGTCAAGATGAAGCTCAATTTAAAAACTGATCCAAGGATACATGTTGGACCCAAGAAAACTTGTTCATATTGAACAACTATTTTTTATTATGTTAGTTCTGAATGAATATGGTAATTAAAAAAAGAAAATCATAAACTTTGTTATGTTTATTTTTTTTTTCAGCACTGGTTGTGTGTGCTGGTGTAAGCGGAAACTAATTATTGCTACCTTAATTCAACAAATAACTTAAACTGGCGAACTATAAATAGTTTTTAAGAATATGGGGCTGAAGTAGATTTCACCTAGTTTTGTTGCCTCTCCATATTAATAAATTTTATGGTCAGCAAAATGTCAAACAGCTTTTACTAAGTTTTACTGTCTATAACCAGTCAGGTACCAGTTAAGGTTAAAGCTGCTTTGAATTTGAATCAGAGACAACCTAAAGGATTAAAATTTCAACTCAAGAACTTTTGCTTTAGCAAATGTGTTCACAAATATGTAGT